GGCCCCGGCTGTAGGCCCCGCGTGTGCGCCGGCGAGGCGCGGGAGGCCAGGCGTCCGCTAGCGCTGGCTTAAGCGAGGGCTGTTGAAACGGCAAAGTCCAGCACCCGGCTAGGTTAAATAAGAAAAGAACAGAACCGGTGTCATCTGCACAACTTGTGAGACCTCCCTGCGCCCGCAGGACACAGCCTGAGGAGTCCTCAGCTTACTTTTTCACAAGATGCTGCCTGCATTCAAGGCACGGCTGGATACCGCTGCCTCAACGCGAGCGCGTGGTTGAGCCTCGGCGCTGCGCGTGCCTCCGCGCTGCTGCTCGCTGTGCGTGTGCCCCCAGACAGGGCATTTCTCATCAGCTGAGATGTCAGGAAACGCAGGGAGAAAGGGGAAAGTCCAGCCCGTTAGACCTTCCACAGGAAATAAAAATAATAATACAAAAGTTCTAAGGTCATCGTGATCACTGAGGTCATATTAATAAACCCAACGTTTATATAACACATTCTGAGGGGAAAAAACAGTCTTCCCTGCCTAGAAAAATCACAAGAGGGACTGAAGTTCAGGAAGGGTGAAGGTCAAAAGTTTGGCTTCGCTAGCTACATTATTTTATAATATAATTTTTTTATGCTTCACAAAATCAGAAGTTAGAAATGTATGAGTTATTGCTTATGTTGTATACGTATAGCTCCAGGTCATCTTTCCGGACCTTTTCTCACGACCATTGATGATAACAAAGATATTGAGATAAAACGATAATGTTGTCCCAAAAAGCGGGGTTCTTCTACCCAGTGCGCGAAGAGCGGAGTAACACAGAGGGTCGAGGTAGTTGTGTGTTTCATGCGCGGAGATGGGTGCTCGGTGGTAACTCCGCAAAGCTAGCACACCTTGGCTGGCATAGGGTGACATCTTATACGTTCGGGGTAGCTGTTACCGGTGTTTTTACCATTCCGCTTATTCATCCTTGCCTCTACTGGTTCTCACAAGCCCCGGCTCCACTTAAAGGGACAGCGTGTGTTAAACTTAACGCGCACGCTCAGTGGGTAGGGGTCTTTGCTTGGGTCGGGGGCTTTACAGCTGGAGGCGTGGGGTTTACTATGTTAATTAGGACAGTTCACTCGTAGTTCAAGTGATTCTCCTTGGTCTTATCAGCGGTTTTACTCCCTTATACCTTATTTTGGTATTTTCTAGTCTGGCTGATTTCTGTTGCCATCTTGTCCCCTCTCCCAGTCTTATTAACTACCTGCAGAGGCTGAATAATACCCTTTGTTTTCTTTCTCGCATGTCTCCAACAATAACAATGTCTAACA